ATAGAAATTCTAACCGCGGACACATACACACGGATGCACGCAGTCGAACGGTTCAAAGCCAATACCTAACCGAGACCTCGACCAAAACCGAACTAGCTCACTATTTACATGATCAATTCAGAGGTAATGTTAAATTACCTACTCAATTATGCGATGAAATCGCAAGACTTACTCAAAATCTCCCTTGCGTATGGGTGTGTGTGATGTTGTGCGGAAGCTTGCCGTGCAATATCCTCTTGTTTGGTTAAGTAAATTCTGATCTCTCTCACTCTCTATACCTCTGAACTTTCTATTAAATTGCTGAAGAAAGAATCTCAAATATATGGCTGAAATGGGTGAGAAAATTGGTCCCAAACTTTCCTAATCATACTAAATGCCGAGAGAGAGGAGAAAAAAAAATGTTGGGATGATGAGGTGAGGCGTGGCCTCTTCTTGTGCCATCCAATTGGTACTAATTTGGTAAATTTTGGATGACTAAGCACCTCCAAATACTGCCACGTTTTGAGCCAAACAGTGAGGAAGAATTATTTTCCAAATAATGAAGAAGCTTACGGCTTTTGATTAAAAATTGGGATAACAAATCTATTTCCTACGGCTTTAAGGCTTTAAATGTGATTAATTTATTAATTAATCACTAACTTATGTTTAATTATTAATTAAACATAATACTTAATTACCAAAATTATTCCGAACGTAAACGATACGTCGAAAATAAATTTCGGTAGTCTCGACTGAAAATGATTAATTCCGAAAATAACAATCGATAACGTTATTATATCGGAACTAAAGCATGATTTATACTGATAAAATAATGGGATATTACAATCCTCCCTCCTTACAAAATTTCCGTCCTCGGAAATTCAAAACATAACTGATATACATGAACTCTATATATAGGATAAAGAAATATGTACATCAGAACTGATAATCTGGGAAACGAGCGCGAATATCGGACTCCTCCTCCCAAGTAGCTCCGTGGAGATCCCACTGAATACGCGCGAGGGGAATATCTCGCTTCCGGAGCCGACGAACATGACGGTCTAGTACAGCTACCGGTCGCTCCTCGTACGATAGATCTGGCTGAACCTGAATATCCGTGAGAGGAATGACATGATCGGGGTCGCACACGTACTTTCGTAACATAGATGCGTGAAACACATTATGAATGTCTGATAACTCGGGAGGTAGGGCTAAAGGATACGCGACCTCGCCTACTCGTTCGAGAACCTCGAATGGACCGATGAAACGAGGGTGTAGCTTCCATCTCTTTCCGAATCGCACTACTCCGCGAATCGGACGAACTCTGAGAAAGGCTGGCTCGCCAACCTCGAACTGAAT